AAGTAGATTACCAAATATACCCGATTCTTTAATGAAGCTCAAACCTGTATCTTTATATAACGCTATATATTAAAGAAATTTCATCATTCTTCTGTCTTTTAATTATTTCTCAGCAACATTTTATATGCGTCTAATATATTGTTTCAATTTCAAATAATAAATTTCATCACAAGATTCTTTTCTTCATTATTTTCATCCTAATATTTTAGATAAAATTTTAAATTTGACACGGTAACCCAATTTAATTTTTTACACATTTTTATATTACATTTAATATTACATAAATAAAATTAAAATTTTAAACAAAGTATACGCTACTATTATATAAAGTCACGTGATAATGTAAAAATAACCGTAGTAATGGGGGAAGGCAAAAAAAGCTGTCACGAGACAAATGATCTGACACGTGATTTTAAGATATTATTCATCAATACTCGATTATTAAGAAACTGAGCTCTACCAAGCATACCTTGAATGTTGCGAAGAGGAATGATGAGAACCATTTAGTAACGATATACCTGGAATGAATTTCTCAGAAATAGACATTGTACGAAAGGAGGTAGAAAGTTTTTTTAATATTTCAATTAAATTATGAGATTGTTGTTCTTTTTTTCACATTTACATTCATCCAATAACTTGATTCCATCCAGATTTGGTCTTATAAATTTGTGGCTTTAATATAAAAACGTGATAATAGATTGAAATGTGAACAAATTTATCATCCAATATTACTCCTGCGCTAAACTTTCCTTTATCATATGATTACTTTGTTCTTTTCATCCTTAAATTATTCTATTTCAAACATATAAAAAGGACTGAAATTACGTTTTTCTTTACATTCTAATAATGATCAATTGCCTGTAATATATTTTATCACTGTAGCTTACGTTCTCATCGCTATAATCAAAAACTTTGATTTCGATAAGAAGAGCAAAATTAACCTTCCTATCTTTTTACTTAGTAATGCATTTTTACCAAGATATACAATAATATCCATTTTTTTTAGAACGATTCTATTAGCATTTGAATTTATGGAGGAGTTCTAATATGGTATGTACTTGATATTTATTTTTCATACTTTAATGATGAAACAAGATTAAAGCAAATTGGAATTACAAGCAATCTGTCTTCATTTATAAAACCTTTATTCAATTACCCCAGCTTTATTAAAACACTAAATATGTTTCGAATTGAGTTGCATACAGCTAATTTGACAAGATTCCAATATAAATCATTCCCTTCAAAAAGCGCACCCAAATTTATCTTTAATTTAATGCTTCAAGAAAATTGTTCTATACATACAACATCGAAATTTCCGAATGAAATTTGTATTATATTATTAAAATTATTTATAAATAGTGATGTTTCTTTAAATAATTTCATTCTTCGTCCGAAATTTGTAAAATGATTTTAGATAATATGAAATTTATATTGAATATTAAAAATATTGACCTAAAGTTATTGTATTCAACTTTGGATCTTCAATATTTTTGATGTCTTTATCATTATTCATTCTTCAATGAAACATCTTAATATAAGTCATAATACAAATAACTTATTTGTAAGAAATTTATTTTAATCACAAACACAACTATTATCTCTTTTACTTTACAAAGTGAAATACATTGATTTGCTAAATTCTTTTAAGTGCTGCTTTTTTTATACTTTAACTTTAATAAGGTTTGAGTATTGTGATTTTACAAATATTTTATCATTTGATAGACTCAGAAAGTTCACACAACTTAAGTCACTTCATTTCGATCAATATAATAGTATAACAATTTAATTTCTTTATCTTTTATTAGATATTTCATCCCTTTAAAAATAAAATCTTTAAAAGTGGTTAGTTAATTCCTAGGGCTTCTCTTATTACTTCAAAAAATTAGTTTTTATTTAAAATATTTAGAATTATTACTTGTTGAAGATGACGTTGTTAACATTACTCTTTCTGTCAAATAAGTTAACTATGATTTGAAATCAGGGAGGTAATAGCTTTGACTTAAATCCAATCAACTTTGACACGCTATTAATTAGAGAGTTTATTTAGTTAACAAGAATAAAATTATAAGTTTATGTTTGCAAAATGTTAAGGTTGTTTATTATTGTTATTAAATGTATATTCAATATAATGTTAGGATCTGTCCTTTTTCCAAGACATTTTCATATCCTTTATATAAGAAAATTACAATTAAAGAAAATCTATGGTATTTATGATACTACTGACAATAATAACAGAGCTAACAGATATGCTAATTATGTTAAATATATAATAAATAATAATAATAATAGATATAATAAAGATATAATAAATGATATTTGTGTCCTATTTAGCAGATTTGGCAGATCTGGCATATTTAGCATATATGTCATATTCAACAGGTCTATCAGTTTCTGCCAGTTTCAGCATCTATAGGGATATAAATATGATGAAAGAAAGAAGGGCATTTATTATGATGGGTACGAGAAGCTGGATGTGATAGAATATAGAAAAAAATGGCTGAAAAGAATGTTTATATATAAGAAATGTATGAAAGAATTTGATAGTGATATGTTAGATATCGTATTGAAACTCAAGTTTGAGTTAGAAGAAAAAAAGCTTATTCAGATAACGCACAATGAATGTCATTTCTATGCAAATAATAGACGACGAAGAATCTGGATCAGAGAAGAAGAGGATATTTTGCATCTGAAACATTTAGGATGTTCCATCATAGTTTTTGCCTTCCTTTATTCATATTATAGGTTATTACAATTATCCGATAAATAATTGCAAAAAAATCTACATATCAAACATAAGGATTCTTATATTTTTCGTTCTGTACAAGCAGATGGATATTGGACATTAGAACATATGATGGAGCAGGTTTCTTTTTAAAATTTTGTTTTTTGCATATACTGTATACACTAACCTAATCTTATTATTTACAATGAAGCTCGTGCATAAAGCAGTTCTGATATTTGAAATATTGCATTCCAGGTGTATTGCTATTTTTGTTTCGATCAGTCAACCAACCATAATGTTATAACAGAATGAATTTAGGGTCTGAAAGAGTATAACTTAAAATACGTGATAGTTAGTATATAAAAGAACGTGAAGAGAAATGCATATAATCTATGACATTCCCAGATAACCATCCAGTGGAGAAGTTAAGAGAACAACCAAAAGAAATCAAAAAAGTACTTGAGGAGCGTAACCTTTGGCCTAAGAAGAAGATTAATTTAGTATGCAAAAAATGCTCTAAGAAAAATGCTGATAATGATGAGAATGATGAGATAAGGTTAGACTGCTATGCATGGTGAATAATATCCTTGCAACCTGACTTCCTTGAGCAACAGTCAGCATTGGAGGAGGCAATTGTTAAATCTGAACATATTTTAGAACGGTATCTGAAGTTTCATTATGAATATAACTTCATAGAATGATACTGAGGCTTTGTAAAATGAGAGACTAGAAAGTTATGTAGTTACGATTATGCAGACCTATTAAAACGCATTCCTGAGGTTCTTGTTAGTGTTCCTATAATGACTATTCAAAAATTCGCACGTAAATCATAGAGATACATGGACGCGTATAACAAAGGACTAGAGGGCAAGACTGCAAAATGGGCCATTAACAAATATAAGTCACATCGTCGGTTACCTGAAAATATTGAAAGAATAATGGATTAGTAAGATGGGTGGATAAAAAATTTTTAGTTACACGAAAATGTTTATTTCTAATTGGTCGATCTCAAATCACGTGATAAATGATCGTCGACAAAATTTGAAACAAAATCACGTGATTGTCGAGTTAAGACATAATAAATGTAACAACATTTTCTGAAAAAAATATAGATTAAATTGATCTGCAATAGCCAATCCTATGAGTTTAGCGATGAAATGAACCGGAACAAAGAATTTATTAAAGAGTAAGGTAACATATAAATGTACTGTATTAATTAAATTAAGATTGTGGTGTCATTTCTCTTGTTGGCATATTTCTTAATAAAATGGAAGAATTTTAACATTAAAAAATTAATTCCGGCCAAAGTAGAATTGTGGTGGTTCATTATAGCAGTAAAATTATTATCCGATTCACTAATTACCGTTACATGGCAATACACAGAATTTTCGGATGAATTGTACAAATCGAGTAAAAAAAATGCGAGATCTTCACGTTTCATAATGTTACATTATGAAATCGTAACGCCTGGTGTCAGAATCATATTACCCCAAAAAAATTTCATTTTATTTGATTTATACGACCGAGGCAATTTCCTAAAATTTTCTTTAATTAAAATTGATAAATCAAATGTTAACTGATTTAATATATTCTTTATATTCTTAGGCGTTACAATTAATTAACTATTTATAAAGGAAAAACGAACTTAAATTTTAAAAAAATTAGCTAATATATTTTGTATTATTATAATAGGTATTTTTTTTTTAATTTCTAATAATTTTCTAAAAATGTGTGACAATCTGCATCCCTTCCTTCTCAATATGGCTAGCTTGTTATGCTTTGCCTTCATAACTTATTTTCTTATTAAGTTATACATATAATTGTTACATAATTGGAACGTAAATCGAAAGCTTTGATTTTCATAGAGGCGAAAGGATAATTTATATCATAAATCTTAAGGGATTTCTCATAGGGGAGGTTTCTAGGAAAATCAGGTTCCGAAAAGTTTTTAACTTAAATTAAGAGCTTAATACATTTTTAATCTAACAACATCAAAACTAAAATGCAATAAAAAATCTCAATTTTGTTAAAAAATTCCCGGAACCTGATTTTCCTAGCAATCAACCCATATTATTTAGGGGGGTTGATAATTTATTATGGGAATAATTTTTGATTTGAGTAGGTGTGCCAAAATTTAAATCGATCGGAAATTAGAAAAAAAAAATAAACAAAAATCGCGATCGCGATATAAAGACTAAAAACCAAACGAAATAAAAAGAAAAAGAGGAAATAAGAAAAAGAAAAAAAAAATGAATATTAAAAAACTAAAAAAAAAATGAAAATAATAAGAAAAGCAAAACGGCGAAACGAAACGAAAAAGAAAAGAAAAAAAATAAACGAAACGAAAATGTAGAATAAAAAATAAAAAAAATGAATTATAAAAAAGAAACGAAAAATTTAAAAAAAAAAAACGAGAATTAAAAAAGAAACGAAAAATTAGAAAAAATAAAATAAAAAAATATAAATAAATAAAAGACCGGGAGGGGGAATAAAAAAAAACGAATACGAAATTAAAATAATGATCGCCGAATTTAAAAAATTAAAAAAAAATTAAAAACTAATTAATAAATTCACGGCGGGGGGGGGTAAAATAATTAATTAAAAAGGTATTTTAAAAACAATTAAAAAATAATCACTTATAAATTATTAACCATAATCTTATTTGTTTTATAATAAAAACTTCATATTTTTCGTCGCGATAGCGACCTCGGGGCATCGCTCGGGTAGGATTGCTAGTTTTAAGCGGTTAAAACGAGAATCCGTTGAAAAAATCATTTATGATTTGATTATCTGTGTTTTGACTAGAAAGTTGTGCGATAAGATTCAAAGTATCCTCGTTATTTATTTGTCTGAAATATGGTTTATTTGCATTTTGTTTTCTCAATCGTCTTCTCTTATTAATAATATTTGTAAGAGTTCCACCACCAGTAGTATTTTGAAAAGGCATATTCTTGGAATGATGTGGAAAAAGCAAGATTTTATCGTTTATATATGTGTGATCGAGGAAGTTGTTTTCCGGATCCTTAAAGCGACGTATTGATCTAATAGAACAAAAACGAGTTTATTTTATCCATTTTCGAATCTACTTTTGGGTTAAAATGCAATGATCAGTTTTAACCAAATCTAAATAGACCTAATTCACAGGATTTAATTGTATTAATTACCTTTTGATTAAAGCACAATAAAGCTTAAAGAAATTCTAGATCCATAATACGCATCTTTGTTGATGTGATTGTGATAAAAAAAAGTTTTAGTAGCTTTGAAATATTATAGAAAAATACATGATCAATGCCAAGGAAACAGAAATTTTTTTTTGGGGTAGAAAAAAATTTTTATGTTTCCGGTTTCATGCAATCGCGTTATACAAAATCGCTGATCGTTGACTAATTGTTCGATTACACTTCGGATTATAGCGAAAAGTAACAGAACTATTTTATATACAGTAATTACTTATTTGGAGACATGAATACAATTTGAACGTGAAAATGCAATATGGTGTCGTGAGCTTTTTAGGATTTATTGACTTCTTCTATTGCTCCTTTTCTACTTTTATACATTAGAAAGGATCATTAATATATGCATTGAAAACGTTTATGTTGTTTCAATTCGAAAATAAAAACAAGTAAACAAGGAATTTCTTTTTTTTTTTTTATTTTAGCAAACTTTTCTAGTGTAGTTTGGATGTGTAAAAAAAAAAAATTTTTTTTTGGATGTTATATATTTATTAAATTAGAAAGTAAAAAGTAAAAATATTGTATTAATATAAAGTATTGGGTCTAATGAGATTAAAACGTGATTTTTTGATAACAAAAATTATTTCCCAGCAAATCAAATGATAGACACATTATTATTTAAGTTACAATGTTACAATGTTACAATGTTACTAGTTACACAAAATTGACAGGTGTATATTTGGTTTTTTTAAATTAGTAACCTATAAAGGAAATTTAACGCCATATATTCAAATGATAAAGTACAATGAAATAATTTTTTTTTTTTCATTATTAAGCAAAAACGTGGCTCTACGTGGGAGGCAAGCTTGTCGATCATTTATCTCGGAATAAAGCGAAGAATCTCCGGTAAATATATAAATATATATTTCTTTTATATTTAAAAAATTAATGTGATTTGGGATGGACAAATTCCTTATTATAATTTAAATATTGAAAATGCGATGCGATGTTTGAGCTAATTTGCATTCCTTTCCTTTCATTTTGCATCAAGATATGCAATAAATACTTACAATCGGATAACTTTAGTTCGTGAATCAAACATCTAGACAAAGACTTTATCGAAATTACCATTCTTGTGTATATTAAATATCATAATGACGTGTAAAATAATTGATATAGGATTCGCAATTAACAAAGGAACACAAATATTATTGAACAGCGTAATGATATACCGGACCGGAAGATCGATCTTCAACTCTGAACCGGTTAAGGATTTTTTTTTAGGTCGGGTTCAGACTTTATTGAACGTAAAAGAAATATGTTAAAAAAATTTGGTGTGCCACGTCGATTATCGTATTGTTTACACGTCAAGATTGAATGCACGATTTAGCACTAATTTGGACTGAACAAAATCCTATTACGACATTGAAACATTAATCACTTTGATCTTTGATTGAAATGGACTAACTTTGTTTAACTTTCGTGTATCCTTTATTGGGAGAAACTAAAACCACAATGAAAGATATATGATTGGACTCGTTTATGTAATAACTCCTCATTTGGAATGCATTGCATTGCAAATCTGAAATTGTATATTTCTTTATATTATTCAGCAAGATTAAAGACGTGTTGTATGATTATCGTTATCTAATATATAATATAGATATAAAGATATTTATCTAATCAAAATATTTCATATAATTTTTTATGTACGCAAATATAAAGAATTACGTAATTCGAAAGAAAAAATTTTTTATTCACTTACAATTATAATTTAGGTTAACTTCTTGTGTATATCTTAATGAATCTATTCCCTTCTTTTGCATATTTTGCATATTGTCATCGTTTCCAAATGGTTAAAACATTGTTTGGTGACTTTTAAGGATAACAATAATCATGCTGAATGAAAATGTTTTAAGTTTTTATTGTGCTGTAATAGAGAAATAAAATTGACGTCATTGTTTTTTTTCTAGAAAGGAAAAAAAGGAATTTCATTGTAAAAGATTTCGTTCCTTGCGCAATCGCTGGCTTTCAAATATAAGCTTCAATAAATCTGCGGCTTTCTGCAGTCGCTAACGTAAATGCAAGCAAGCGTATTACGTAGGGATTGTAACCTAGGCATTTGACCGGTCGAACGTTTGATCGACCGATTTTAACGGACCGGTTGACCGATCGTTATGCTAGGACCGAACTGATTAGATGATAATGCGTAGTGGCCCATTTTATTTTCACCAATCAATGAAGGTCCATGTGACCGAAATAGCCCAACCAAAGTGTTATCGTTCATAAATTTTTTAACTTGTTAATTTTTTTTTATAATATATTAAATATTTACCGAAATATGCCAATAATCAGTAATACAATTATGAAAGTATAAATTGTGAAAAAGTAGATAAACTATAAAGGAAAAATAGCAAGATAAACTTACGAGACATATTTGATTAGGATCTTCGTAATTAATAATTCCAAGATTTTGATATCGTAATAGAACTCTTCCTAATATAAATTA